AAATTCTTAAGTGGTATAACTGGAGATGTTATCTGTCCTTAAAAGAAAAGGAATACTTACTTCGGGCTGTGTCTTTATCCAACGAAAGGATTGAACTGCGCTTGTTAATGCATGCTATTATTCATATCGGATGTCCATGTTAGCTTTTAGGCGCCCGTGGCCTAAACCAGTACGTACTCACGCACAGCTTTTTTCCACCCATCAGGTCGCAGCTTCTAAGAGGTGACCTCTTCGCTTTGCACATTCTTCCTTGCTCCAGCAGACTTCAAGTGATTGCATTTAAAGGCCGGCTGCATTCCACAGGTAGAATAGGTGCTATCAAAAAGACACAAGACACTTCCGCGATCCTTGTACGCAAGTGGAGGCTGTCATTCGTGCCAATGGGGGCACGGCGTTCATAACAGCAGTCGTTTTTCACGGTTTGCCCTAGTACAATGCTGGTACAGTTTTAGAAGGAGTCCTATTTCAGTAAGCATTTTATATTGCACACTACATCTGATGCGTTCAAGCTTGCTCGTCAGCTGTACAGGGCTGAACATGAAAACGATCAGTAGCAAACATAACGACATTTGAGATATCTTGAACTTGCCTTACTTACTTATTTTTTATATGTTATTTCCTTTATTTTTTTCACATATGAGCACCAGTAGCTCGAATAAGTTGACCGAACGTCCGTGAGTTCAGCTCATGCAGCTCTCGTGTTAGCTTAAGGCAGTATACATAGCGGCAGTATACAGTATACATAACATGATGCGTTTCTCTAGCAGTAAGAGCTGCTGGTGTATTTTCGAAAGAAATCTCACAAAATCTTACCGAATGTCACTCGCTTGCTGGGCCTCGCCCGATGAACAAGCTTTCGAAGGTACAAGTTCACTCGAACATAATTAGGCGTGAGTAAATGGTGAGATCGAACCAAAAAATATGTATATTGTGAGTATACCACTGTCCCGAGCATGCTTTCACTACAGGACATTTGCACAGTTAATCTTATTTTTTTTGTGATTTTGGTTTACTACACTTTGTCAAACTAACTTAAGTTTAACATGAATGAAATACTGTGAAAGGTGCATCTGCGTGGTAAATTCGAGGGCTCCTTTGCGTAACTTTACCTGTTCAAATTGTGCTCTGTACAACCAACTTATTATTACACTTTTTTTGTATAGACTAGGTTAAAAAAACTTAAAACATAGAGGTAAATATTAGAGTCAAAAGCGTTCTAACTAAATTAGACAAGGAGACAGTCTCATGACATTTTTGTACGACGAAGACAGTTGTCCACTAACACCAAGATTGGCCGATTGCGAGCTTATTGGGCCATGCCTTCAGGACAATTTGCTAGATTGCTTTCACCTTGGCCTCTCAGATTATCATTCGCCTCGCGATCTGAAACGTAACCGTTTCAGCTTTTTTCGCCCGCCACCATAAAACCTAGCTGGAAAGTCGGAACGGACTGTTTAATTCAACCAAGATTTATTTAGACATTTCAAGAGTACAAATTAGCTTTCATTCGTTTTCGTCATTTTCAACAAAATATAAAATACGTTTATCCATTTTAAAACACATTCAAAATAGCTAAATCATATGGGGTGAATATCTTCACCTTTTTGTATGGGTACGAATAGAAAAATATTCAAACTTTAGGTGTTTTTCGACGTCAGCCAATATAAATGGAATAAATGTCTTTCCTCCTAAATTGGGCTTATAGATGCAGGCAAATGTTCGACCACGGAATTATGTGACATTAATCCTAGCTTTAATAATTCTTATAAAATATACATGATAAAATTAGATCACTTACAGTTTCTGTTTGCTATTATAAATTTAGTTTTCATTTTGTGAGTATCATCCGTGCTGCTTGGTGTACACACATTACAAATTCATGTAACCAGTATGATCATATCTATTCTGTTATTCAAAGCCAAAAACAGTAAGATCTTATTCAAACAATATGCGCTCACGAACTGTAAAATACCGTTCGGGAAACAGCTTATTCACTTGACCTTTCTTACCTAAGAAAGTCACCATGTAAAGAAGGAATTGTATGTTTATGTAAGGCGGCAAACCCTTTAGAGTATGAGGTGTTAAAGATACAAATCTCGATAGGCCAAACGAAGCGTGCCTAAACATGTTCATAGACATCGTTTTACGAGCATAAAGGCCCATGGTGATCATATCAGGACGGTGCATTTCTTAAAACTCTTAGATCGGTCGGATGGATATTTTAGTGGATCAATGGGCTGCTGTTTCCGGGTTATTGTTAGTGACATCCGTCATAGATAATATGAGCCGCCCCCTAAAGAAAATCTTAATAGATTAGAAATAGAGATTTTGATAGCTAACAATAAAGTTCCGTTATGATTTCGTCAGTGGCAGAAAGTCTGTGGTAGAAAGGCTAGCTATTATGACAATATGGCATTAACACAAATGACTAATTTCACATATACAGGACCGAACTAAAAGTAAGCCACAACGTTGTGGCATCTTACTATCTCAAAAATTATTAGATTGTCCACATTTCATCGAAAAGGGGTGGGCATGCTTCTACTGTCCTTAATTTATGATTCCTAAACAACTGAGTATTGAATGCTTCAGTAAGCGTAATTTGACCTAATGAGCGCCTTTTGCAAATCCTTAGTGTATAAAGTGACGATGCTTTATGTAGTCTGCTAAAAATACGCTATCGTAGCGCTGGGACATATTAAATTTGCTTTAAATGTAACGTTTGCCTATAGCCATGGATGTGTCATAGACTACACACCTATTGAGCCTTCGATAGAAAAAATTTGTACATGCTGCGGTCGACATACAAGTCGGACAATTCTGTTTCTCGTCGCCCTATGATAAATAGCATACAGAACAATTTTATTACACTAAGTTACAAACTTAGTCGAGGATCTAGGCTTTGTAGGCTCCTTTCCGGACGTGCTATTATAATGGAATATTTAAAAGGGAATACATAAAAAAACTAGATTCAATGATGGCAAACAGGTCGGATCTATGCAACGAATCTACATTACAAAATGCCAGATTACATATCTTAAAAGAATTCTAGTTAAGGTCTTTACTTAGGTAAGCCAATAAGTGGTTTAAGGAAAATGAGATGGTTGAGACACTTCATAACAGCAATGCAATTGTGATGGGAAACCACGTGAAAAAGAAAGTCCTTTAAATAGAGATCGCTTTTTTAAGCGATCACGCGAAACGAGAGAATGGTTTGGGAACAAATTGCACCAAGTTAGAGTCTAAAATAAAATCAAACAATTTACGAAATGGCCAGATAGCTCGCAGCTTTAGAGCAGGATAGAACAGATAAAACACTTATTTTCTGTCCGAACTGTCCAAATAGATAGTAGATTTTAAGACTAATTTTATCAACAGGATTTTATTTTTATCGTACCAATACAGCAGGCTCAGGATAAAATTAAGTGCATAATCTCATGAAAACGACATAGTTGTATAATATTATAAATAATATATAACGCTGACTTTCTAAAAAGTACTATTTAGTAGCTTATAATCGTTTGCTGCGATCTTCCAAAAGCCAATTAATGTGAAACATAATTTTATATGCGTAATTAAATCCTCACTTCTGTATAAGGAATTACTAACTTGGCACTTACATTTATTTAGCTTTATATTAAAGTAGCGTAATTTCTCTATATGAAAGTACATGAAGCGACTGCACGTGGACACGATAAGTGTTTTTTCCAAGAGCAAAGTGGATCTGACGAACCTGAGGTTTCCCGGAAAGGAAGCCTTTATTTGGCTGTGCTGAGCATTTTATTTCTAGTGTTAAGAAACTTTAAATAGGGCACTAGCGTACATTGTCAGATAGGAAGTAGAACCCCCAGTAGCCGACAAAATCTCACGCACGCCCCGATTACCGGGAAAGAACGGTAAACCCTCTTATACTAGTCACAAGGACCTAAACACGCACTAAAAGTTAGAAATAGCTGTCGATAATTAAAGTGTATTCGTATAAAACAATAGTCTGATTTCCGCACAACTACAACCTAGCAACTACTAGAAAGAAGCAACAAGCAAACTAATGACCAATCGCATTTAAATGTGTACAGTGAAGTTAATTTATATCGTATTCAGTACTCGCAAACTTTCTATTTAAATTATATATCAATTAGGTCATCTCTGTTTCCGTAGGTTGCAAGAACTCCATTAGCTTCCTCAGGCTTTTAGTGGAAGAGGGTATCTATCTGTCTCTTCCATTTGTCGACTAGGCAGGTAGGTGAGAAGTAGCTTGATATTAGATGTATGCGGTTGGAAAATGAGATCGACTGCGTCACAATCTTGAACGCTGGTTAAACCAAATGACAGATGAATCTGTCGCATCGACTAATTTTTCGTTTCCGTCTATGACTCTTGTAATGATGTATTATAAGCCGACTCAGTAAACAGTCGTATCTAAAATGTGAACGACAATCTGGTCCTCTTTCTATCCAAAGGCCAGATAAGGGCAATTGCCGATTCTTCTAGTACACCTTTTTACGACCGACGCCCGGCTTCTAATGCCCATAGGAAACCTATGATCTTCCATGGTGAAAATAGCTATGATCATTAATAGGTAACTTTGAGTAAACCGGCTTACCGTAAGCTCCTCCATCTGCATTGTTTTTCAGGATACCGAAAAATCGCCTTTCCTCACGTTTATAGCTCATGCTTCACATTCGTCCACAAGTGAATATTCTTATCGACCTTATTTTTGACTAAACTAACCTCTTACATTAAGTACATTCAAATCGGTGTCTCATGTAGCTTTGGCAGTATGGCAATTTCATTGTCTATACATTACTATTGTATAGTGCTCAAATCTTTCTTTTTTTTTGAGTCTTTGCTTATGGATAACTGATTTACGCTCGCTAAAACGAGTTAGTCATAATCATACTAAAAATCTAGGCAGCATCGTTATGTATAAGCAAGAGTACAAAAGAACTCGTATATTTTTATTCAGCACCTAGCTGCTTCGAACCAAAACGAAGCAATCACATAACTGCATTGTCTGAAGAAGATCATAAGCAGGATTTCCTAAAGATTTCCTATGATCATTAGATAATATATCAAGCAAACATTTTTAAAAAATCTATATATTTTTATCAGTAGAGTCAAAGCAGTCCTCGTCGGCAGTAAGCCTCGATTTGAGGTCTCGTCGGACCACAAGATGTTTTCGATAATTGAATTTGATGTGTGTCTTTACCTTTATTTAATCTTATGCGTTATGCAACTACATTAGCACATTCACTCCCAATGTGCTACATTAAACAATTCACTTGCGTAAACGCTAGACTCTTCTCGTTGAGCTATATATCACTGAGACCGTGTGTATTGTAATCCCATTACATGCTTATCATTTGTTCCAGTTGCACAAATATTTTGCCAAAAACTATCTATAATTTTTCTGTAATTATGGTTATCTTGACATTTTTTTATTCGACATTTATTGGGAGCAAAATTGAAAGGTTAATCATTATTGTATCAATGGCATGTCAAAATGTATTTGTGTCATGAAATTTCAACGAATTTTTACGGTATTTATTTCACATGTAAACATTTTACTACAGTTGATTATTAGTACAAAGTTATGACAAATTCTTGTTGGTATAATTGTGTTGCTATAACTATCTCTTGTAAGAATATTTAGTGAAAACTGATTACGTACGAACATAAGAGATCTAGGTCGTATAGCTGTGCATAGGATCTGTAAGGAAAAGTACACAATTTCATGCTCAGTTATTAAATAACATATTTTAAATAGGTGCCATATTTCGAGTAATCAAGCATTTTACCGTAATGCGGAACGGTTGATAAAAATATATTTAGAACAAGGAATGGTCTCAGCTATGCGAAGATGTCAGAACCTAAGGGTGAGCTGAAATAGCCAAAAGGTTTTAGAAATGTTTACGTATCGCGGAAAATATGGAAGTATTTCATGTCATAATAAGTGTAGGAAGAAGTGTAATCTGTTTTGAAAATGCTATGATGTTTCGAAACCGTTTGCTGGAAATGTTACATGTTCGCATCTGCCTTACATGATGCAGCCGTTCTTACGCTTAAGCACGAAAATCGTAGAATATACTGAAATCTATTTTCTTTGTAAAAGTCAGCCATTTAAGATAACTAATCACTGATTCGTTTACGGAACTTGATTTTGCAAATCGTCAATTTGCCTGATTTTAATCCTGATTTAATTCACAAGTTCTGAAATTTTGCTATTTTGAAGCAGAAAATACGCATATTCTTCGATATACTAAACTAAAAAATAAATTCAACATGTTTTTATTGTCTTCGATAACAATTATATTTAACAAGAATACAACCGTACTATGCGGTGCCAGTCTTTGTAACACCACTCATATGCTTCTTTCAACCATCAGCTGAACAGTTAACTACTCTGTATGTACTGATCTTTACTACCGAGCTTGTAAAGATCAGCCATCCGATATTTCCGATGCCTGTCACCTACAAGGACCACAACATCATTCTCATCTTTGATATCGACGACGATGCCCTCCTCCTCGCCTTCGGAGATGATTTTGCACTTGTCGTTTTCGCGAGGTCGCATCGGCTCGAGGTACTGCGAATCGACACTAATGACACGCGCCTCCTTCAACAGTAGGACTGAACAGACGCTTCCCTGTATATCGTTGAGAAAAACACGTAATTTATTTAACCAGTTGTTACCAATATCCATCGCTTATGTAAATGTATACAAAAATTGAGGTCATTGACGATTATTACTATCACAGTAATTTTCAATTACTAAATACAGTATTTTTTCTGATGTGCTTCTTCTTGATGAACTTCAACTGTGATGATTAATCTATCAATAGACCAACAAATATCCTGGATTTATCAACCATTTCACAAAAAAACAGCTTACCGATACACCAGCAATTATACACTTCTGTCCGACGAGACCCTTGTCTTTGTGCTCCATCGCTCCAATGCGACATTCAAGATCGACAGCTTGCCACTCGACGGAATCCGACAACCCGCTTATTCCTATACCGCCGCCTGGAGTGACCGGATTAAACGGACTTGGTACAACCCCTGGCGTCATTGGTGCGTAACTCAGGGGATTAAATTGTACACTGGGGCTGTTGTAACCCAGTGGAGAAGAGGTCATACCCATCGAGTTTCCTGATGATGACGATACCGAATAACCACCAGCGACCGAAGACGTCGGCGACGTACCCTGATGCGGTAAATAGGTTGAGTTAACATCATGGCTGCGTCCAGCGCCGTAGAGTCCGCCTGGTGTCTGCGAAGTGAAGGGTCCGCCTACTTGTGGCGTTTCAGGCTGGTAACCCGGTGTGACTGGATTATACGACGGCGACGGCGACGGCGACGGAGACGGCGAAGGCTCTTCGTAGTCGTCTAAATCATCATGCCGTGCCGATGTCGATGATGTATCCCATGCGGAGCTGTGATGCTGCGGTGTACGGGATCCGTCATGGCGAGGCGTCTCCGAACCGTTATAATGCGGCGTGCGGTTACCCGCTACGCAGCGAATTAAATTCAATTAGATACATAAAAAAATAAAATAAGCTATTTAGGCTATTAACAGATATAACACTAAACGCTACACTGATTATGACACAACTGTGATAACATAAATAAGCTCTTGATAGCACATCAAGGTGATTTGATTGAAGATGATACTTACGTTCATATAACGGTGTCTGAGATCCTTGCATGGGCGTTCTAGAGCCATGCATTGGCGTCTGATTACCATACATCGGTGTTTGACTGCCGTATGACGGTGTACGTACGTATGACGAAGCTCCTCCTGTTGTCCGGCCGGCAGGGCCACTGACAGGTTCAATACGCGCGCGATCAACAGAGATGGTTTGGCATTTTGAGTGTAGCTCTACCCGAGTAGCTGACTGCGTTGCATCCTTAACAATACCGTAGTGTCCCTTATACGGACCCTTGGTAATCTTGATTGTTTTACCAATTAAATACAAATCACGCTTGCCTTGCTGGGCAACTCTATTATGACCGGGACCTTGCGCCAGCGAACGCATAGGTCTTATACCCGATGATGGATGCATCGGACTGCCAATTCGCGGTGAAAGTGGGGAAAAACCACTCATTGGAAGTACCCCTTGCCCACAAGGATTTGTCCTGACATTGCTTCCAGCTAATGTAAGATGACGTGTTTTACAGACAAAGATACCTCCGTTATCCGTCATTAACCGTGAATGCAAAAAGGCGTGAATGCGAAAAATATGCTTAACCTCACCAGTTCGTCCTGAGTGTGGTCCATCTGTAACCTTCACTATATCTTTTATATGGATTTGGTTTTGTTCAGAGTCGAGTGCCACGGCCTTCTTGGAGTCGCATTTGCGAGTAATCTTTTGGTGTTTTACTGAAATGACGTTGCCTGTTTGAGCCAACACTTGAAAATACTCTTTTTCAAGCCGGACAATAACTCCGACCGTTTGTGCATCTAACTGCACAAGGTCACCCCACTGATACTGTCCATAGGCATCTACTCCAGTGGCAGTGTCGGCACACAGTTGTAAATCTTTGGTGCGAACCTTAAGCTCATGACACGTGACATCCGAGAACAAAATAGCTAGATCATTTTCAACCCTAAGGATCATGCCGGTATCTCCCTCAAAACGGCCACCCAAAACTTTCACGTGATCGCCCGTTTTGAAATATTTTTTCAATTCGTTCGTCTGGAACTCTAGCGGTTCATTCAAGTCTTCGTGCTTCGGTAGCATTGACACTTTATTACCATCAACGGTAATAACTTTACCTTGTAGGTTTACCAGTTCGCCGTCGCAGACGATTACATTGTCACCCGGAGCAAACAATTCGAATGGCTGTATGCCATTTGTTTTTTCTCCAAGGTCCATTTCAAGGTTTTCAGGCTGAGTATCAAACTTTTGCAGTTCCTCCAGCGTCGGCTTTATTCCCTCTGTCAAAATCGCGCTCATAGCAAAAGCCTTGAATAAATAACCTTTACGTGAGAAGCGATTGCCCTCGAAAATGAGAAAATCTCCATCGGTGGACACGTCTCCTCCTGCACGACGAACTGCATCTACATCAAATAATTTCTGTGGAGGTTTTTTAAATTTTCGTTTCTTTTCGGCATCAGCGTTGTTCTTGACAGCTCCGCGCGGTTTTGTATAATCGATCCTCGGTATCATCTTTAGCTCGACGCGATTTTGAGCTTGCTCCACATGATACACCTGAGCTAGATCATCCTTAAAGATTCCTCTCTTAAGACGCACCCATTGGCCTCGGGTAACCGCAGCTTGTTGTTTGGTTACGCGCAATACTTCTATCATTTCTTTAATAGGCACCATTTTTTGTTCAAATGAGCCCATTTTAAGATTGCCGATTCCCTCTATTGCAGCCTTTACGTGTGTATGTTTGTATGCTTCAACATAAATGTAACCCTTCACATTTTCCGGTGCTACAGCTGAACGAATCTGCAGCGGTTGTTCAGTGTTTTGATACGCAATGAATTTACGCATCAGCTGCAGCACCGTCACTTTTTCTTCCCCCAGTCGACACCGCACCATCCACAGCATTGGGTCCCTAAAATGAACATTTGTATACAATTCAATCTACAATGATGCAGCGATAATGCAAAAAAAATCATCACTCGCAATTCTGAACGATAGTAAAGAATTACTATTCAAAAATGACTTGAGTTTTCTTTGTGAATTAACTAAATACTAATAATAATAATATTATTATTATTATTACTATATAGTAAGACGATATATTTAACAACAATATCAATTCATATTTATTCCATTTTTAGTACTTACTTGACACTCGGTTGAAATGTCTGTTGCGCAATATCATCATCGAGGTCGACATCGCCCTGATCGCCCCGAAGCCCGTAAAAATCACTTTTATCGGCATATTTTCGACGGTAGTAATCTTCTATTTCGTCGGGTTTCCTATCGAGCATCATTTGCAGTCGTCGATGGCTGTGACGATCCCCATCGCGACCGCCAAGTTCGTCGTCAAGGAGATTAGTACCTCGTCCTCGGCTTTTCTCCAGAAGTTCTTCAGCTCCGTCTTCCCACTCTTCATCGTCTTCGACCTCGTCGTCAACTTCAGCTTCCTCGATGAGAAAACCCCGTCCCCGTGACTTTTTCTTTTTTCGACGAGTTTCTCTTTCATCATCCTCGTCATCATACTGTCATTGTGGTAACGGATATGAGCAGCATGCAAAAAAATTAACTCATAATTTCATAATATAGTTTAAACAAATTATTAGATTATTCACGACATTGAGTATAGCAGGTCTTTAGTAGAAACTAAAGGAGGCTACCATTAAACGATTAACAGATCATGACAATCAGGTGCAGCTGCGTATACATGCCCAGTCTTTTTTACTTAAACTTTCTTCTTAAACTTTGCAAAGTTCAAAACCTTAACGACATCGGTAAGAAATAAAAACAATATTGCATCGAGTAGTATCAACTTACATTATCATCTTCCTCATCATTGTCGTAATCGTATTGTGAACGTTTTCTACCGCTGCTACTACTACCGCGACTTGTCGAGGGCTCGTCGTCGCTTATCTCGTTCTGATGAGAAATTCATTACGAAAAAATTCACATGAAATAATAGTGCTGCAAGCACTTTTCGCTATTAACGATATCACAATATTTGCGACGGTCAGGGAAATGACTAATAAACTGACATCCATTCCAAACCAATTCCCAGAACTTAGCAGGCCAACTTACGTCACTTCCCTGTAGGCTGCGGTTTTCTGATAATTCGCTACCTTCACTGTCCGACATTTTTTCTGGAATTGAAATAACGTACAAAATATCGGTATAGTTAGGAAATTACAGGGTTCACTAATACGTTATAATCGAAAAAAAATATCCGAGTTTAACTTTGATGTATGGCTATTTGTCTCCATCTGTAAAGTCGCAACACGTACGCGGTTAGCATCTGAAAGTCACGACCTTCACCCCTAACCCAGTCGAGTGTGCACAAGGTGTATCAATATTCTCAAGAATTTAGTGTTTGAAGGCAGATTTTCTACAACGGGTAGAACGAGTCATACTCATGACGGCATTGCACTTTCGAAGATTCTAATTTGTTTCCACATTGGAACAGTTCACGATGGTAGAGCGAACAGCTTTCATCAAAGGATTCTAATGTGGAAACAGCCAATCACGAGCCCATTTACTGTTACCGTCAGTCTGTCATACTAAGGATATGCAGGAAAGCTTCCAGCATAGAATTATCCGGACATGGGAGAAATGGTTTGGCTATAGTAAAACGGTGTCCTAAGCCGCACAAGTCACCACAGCATCCGCTGTTTCGGGCTCGACTTCTCAGTTGAGTAACGAAGTCTTCATATAAGCACACCGTCAGTGCGATCTCAGGTTCCTTGATTATTTCCTTTGAGAATTTGGTAACCCCAAAAATATACAAAAGCAAACCTACAACTATGCAAGAAGTAAAAATTAATATTCAAACAGTAGTCAATTCAACCGTTTTCAATAAGTGTTAGATACTTGACTTTTTTGTGCCAGGCCGATTAGCCGAAATCATGTTTAACATATTCATGAAAAACACTTAGAATCAATATGTTCGGCAGTTTCGTAGGCGCAGGCTCACTCACTATAGACCTTATATGTACAAAAGCCTTTCCGTATACACATTTTACACACCATTGTTCCACTTTTTAGTTCTGTTACCTCTGTAATTCGCTTATTCCTTGGCCGATAGACGCTTAGACTTGACAATTCATACGTTTAGTGGATTTTTAAATATGAAGATTACTTAACACTGGCGCGTTAGTATTTACACAAAGAACTGATTTAATTCAAACTCTGATCTAACGAAATGCTTCATTAATTGGAACCTTTTCAATCACGTTTATTGTAGAAAACTGTTAGCTCGACAAAAGTTACATTAATAGCCCCCGTCTAAATTTATTGATAATTATTACCGACATCATTATTGATCCCTTGATGATCATCTACTGCCAAAATGCGTTAATGCGCTAAACATCTAAAAATTTATTTAACGAAAAATAGTTGTGTTAATGGATTCCATTTTGACAAATGTCCAAATGTTCGATAACTAAATTAACCATCGTTGTTTTTTAGTACTTATCAGAAGATTAAATATGTAAGACACTTGAAGTGCTTCATTCAGAACACAGACATGGGCCTGATAAATCATTCATGAAAGCCTCATACACATCTGTAATTTAGGCTACATTAGGTGCATCAAAAATCACTGTGTCGCTGCTATGTAGAAATTGTCACTATCTGATTTGTGATATATTAAATAAACTGCTCCACGATTTGCTGGCTTTGAAGTCCGTAATGCGACACATGACTTACAGCCTTGAGATTCGTAAGACAAGTATCGCACAACTTCTCAGAAAACAAACACTTTAATTAAGCGATATCTAGTGAACTTTAGGCAATCACCAAAGGTTAATGATATCTTACAAAAACAACTATGGGCAACAGGACCGGATCGTTTGGTTAAGCAAGACTGAACTTAACTGCGTTTCCTACAAAATGTCACGAGTTCAATCTTATATGTTTCTGGCACAAAGGTTGAAGCAGTACAAGCCTGGAATAATTTAACAAATTGTACCGATTTCGTCGACTTAGAAATATTCACTACAATCAGTTTGGAACCGGGCAAAGACTTCGAATTACTAGTAGTACTGCACTTCACCGCTTAGCAAAAAGCCAAGTGTTCATAGAGTTGACATACCTTTTCCGTAGAAGTAAAAACATCAAGAAGCTTAAATTACCAAAAACAATAGAATAAATTCAAAAATCGAAACTAGCATGTAAGATATCGATTTTATGAAATGAATGCATTACGTAAGAGTTCTGTTTGTAAACACACAGTTCTGCCATGTGATGATACTATGACAAGACTTTCTACACTTAGAGTACGTAAACTGTCTCCACTGAATCGGTATTATAGAGAAGTCGACAAGCACTTTAGGCCGGCCGTAGACTGTATAAAATGTACAAAAAAATATACAACAGAAAGCATAAAATCAAAAAAGAAGGGTAAACTGAATTACTATCGGTAGAAAAAGTCCATGATGGATAACCTACTAAAGACACTGCTAAAATTGTCAGCTGCCTTTCGGTTGGTATAACTGCAGGCTATTTATGCAGATTTTCGTACTAAGCTTCCAAACTATGTAGAAAGTGTGCTGAGTGACACTTAATTATAAATGCATGTATACGGTATCATTATTTGCCGTTAAATATAAACTCATATGACGAGAAGTTCTGAAAGTACGTATAATATTGCGAGTTCTATTCGATTCATCTTTAGTTCAATCCGGCCAATGTCTACACATATGTGACTTGTCCGCAAATGCAGGCCGCGTAAATTGTCTGATGTAGGATTACTATAGGTATGTTCATTTTAACAGACCTGTAATGGACGAACCTTTCTTTACCTAACTTATATCGGTATAAAAAGGTGAATATCGACGGAGGTGGTCTAGCATTTGCGCAATTCCCTTTAGATTACCGCGTAAGTTGCATATTCAATGATACCAGTGTGTCCTTTGCATGAACCAAGTAGACAACCTTTTGTTCTGGATTCTACGAGCAAAGTCTTCGGTCGGTATGCTCCCCATATCTAAATGCCATCTTGCTAAGCGTAAAAAAATAATTCCGTATTCCTTTCTATCTATAGATATATCGACCCTTCACCGAACATCAGCTGGCAGCACAACGATGAACAGAACTAAATCTCACTTGTACTGGCGTCCTATCCCAGGTAAAATTTCTGGGAATGCTGCGTAGTGAACGGCTATCAGAAATAAACATTATTTTAGGTGATATTCCCCTCGAACTGCATTTTTTATCTTTTACTGAGGTAATCTGTTTAGATTTTGTCGATCCTCATTGCTTCAACACTTTAGGTTACAATTGTAACTCAAGCTAAACTTACAAAGTAACTCTTGATTAGCGAGATGCTGGACCTTTACAGCGCCAGTAACAGTCGTGACTGTCGAAAGATGCCGATTGTACCGATAAAATGGTCCATTAAGAATCTGCCATATATGTACATGGTTTTATCACACTGCATTTTAAAAAAACAATTGATAGATGGTCACTTGACGGTTGATCAAGCATTCAATTTCGGAATGGGTGAATAAGGGAAGTTCGGTACTTCGCTAGCCAAAGTTCGGGTTGTCCGAAATGTCAGCAATCTTCGCGTTCAGTGTTCAACTGTCAAATGCCAACCAAAAGTAGTCTTTAGCAGTAGTGCATAGATATGCCAAGAGGCCGCAAAGTACTCTCGTCTGGCGAAAGCTTGCCACTATCATGGCCATCAAAGATTCTCTATCGGATTATCGCACATCGAAAGCAGGCAAAGCAAGACTAGGTATGTAGACGTACACAACACTATCTTGTGCGTCCTTTTATAGACAGCATGATGCTTATCTGTAAATACTACAAATCCTGCGCAAAGCATAACAAATTAATGTTATATAAAATCTCGAGAAAATGACTGAAAAGAATTAGCCTTGCGATTGCTTTAAATGGACGTAAGAATGAACTGCGGTTGCTATTAAAGAGATTCAATTAGTTTGTGTAATACTGGACTTTGTTCACGTTGTCAATGAAAAACCTTATGATTATTGGTCCTTTGCTTAGGCTTGATCACATGCCGTAACCTCCTTTGATACGCTCTTTCAAGTTTTGAATGATTAAGCAATAACGTCCTCAACAGAAGCACTACAACTGCCGCACAGACGTTTACATAGCGGCTTTTTGCGTCATAGTATTCTACATTATATGCAAAAAATTTGTGAATATTTCACAAAATTTTACTAGATGTGCTATATCATACTTCAAAGCGCACAAAAATAAGTTATCTTACGTGCACTCATCTACAAGAAGATGAGCTAGTATAATAAAAACACATGAAGAAACAAATTAAGCTTAGGCTTATCCAATGATAATTACCCTATTCGACATTAAACAAAGACGCACCTGTCGTTGATTAATATAATAGTGTATATGGTGTCATATTTATTGATAGATGCCTGTATACACAGAGAAAGTTTTATCATCAACAAGATACTAGGTTCAAATTATAAATTTAAAGTCAAAGCGAAAAAAGCTTTATACAGAATCCGTAATTAAAGAACACAATGGGTGTCACATATCGCTGTTGTTTGTAATTAAATGTTAGCTTATCTAACCAAAATTTCTTGTAATATTTTGACCATGCTTATAATATTTCTCTATACTCCGTGAATCTATAAGTTAGGCTTGATACCTCTAAAAGTTGTCCGTTAAGTCATCTAAATGATTTCATGATCGAACTAAGCGTTCGAGTATTGATCCTTGCTGCCTAGTTTGCAAAGGTCTTGCATGCGGTACTTTCGGTGACGGTCACCGACGAGAACAACGACATCATTGTCATCCTTAATATCAACCACAACTCCTTCTTCCTCGCCTTCGGAGATGATCTTACACTTGTCGTTCTCACGAGGCCGAACCGGTTCTAAATAGTGGGAATCGACGCTGATGACACGCGCCTCTTTCAACAGAAGCACTGAACAGACGCTTCCCTGTTACGACAGTCACGTAAAAATTTGTTTCTTTAATTTAAAGATATATAGTTATAGATATTATAGTCGTTGTATGTATATTTTATCTAAATATCGAACTATAAAAATAGCATAGACAGCCTTATCAATATATTTTAGGGTCGCCAGTCCACTCATTATTTTACTAGTAGCAGTAGCGACCTATCTAGTAACAGCAATAACTTACCGATATGCCTGTAATAATACACTGTTGTCCGACGAGACCCTTGTCTTTGTGTTCCATGGCTCGGATACGACATTCAAGATCAACAGCTTGCCACTCGACAGGATCAGCCAAACCGCCTATTCCCATACCACCGCCTGGAGTGGCCGGATTAAACGGACTTGCCGCAACTCCAGGTGTCATTGGTGAAAAGCCCATAGGGTTATACTGAACACTGGGATTGTTGTAGCCTAGTGGAGATGGGGTCATACCCATCGAGTTCCCAGGGGATGGCACCGGATAACCACCTGCGCCTGAAGGCGATGGCGATGTTCCCTGGTACGGCGAATATGATGCACCTGCGTCATGGCTGCTTCCCGCGCCATAAAGGCCACCGGGAGTTTGCGGTGTGAAGGGTCCGCCGACTTGTGGCGTTTCAGGTTGGTAACCGGGTGTGGCTGGATTATACGACGGCGACGGCGAAGGCTCTTCATAGTCGTCCAGGTCATCGTGGCGTGCCGGTGTTGATGACGGATCCCACGCGGAGCTGTGGTGTTGAGGGGTTCGTGAGCCGTCATGGCGAGGTGTCTCTGAACCAGTATAATGCGGAGTACGGCTCCCCGCTGACGATAGAAGGAATAAACCAATTAAATTTTTATAAGCTATAATATGTACAAAGCTAAACAAAATATTGAGAAAACTTGATATGTAAGTATTTGTTAGCAGATCATCATGTCAGATAGCGTGGAATTCCTATTATATTACTATTAGCAATATCGAAGCGAATCACATCGGCTAATTATATACTGACTGTGACATGTGATACCTTTTGTAAACGATATACTTTTTAAATGTGATACCCTAAAGCTTTATAATGTCAATATTTATACATAACAAACATTAGCTTTGTAACTTCAACTCACGCTCATATAACGGCGTTTGGGATCCTTGCATGGGCGTCCTAGAGCCGTGCATTGGCGTCTGATTACCATACATCGGTGTTTGACTGCCGTACGATGGTGTACGTACATATGATGAAGCTCCCCCTGGAGCCCGACCAGCAGGGCCAGTGACAGGCTCAATACGTGCGCGATCGACAGAGATGGTCTGGCATTTTGAGTGTAGTTCTACCCGAGTGGCTGATTGCGTTGCATCTTTGACGATGCCATAATGGCCCTTGTATGGACCCTTAGTGATTTTAATTGTCTTTCCAATCAAGTGTAGATCACGCTTGTTCTGCTGGGCAGCTCTACTGTGACTAGGGCCTTGCGCCGGCGAACGCATAGGACTCTTCATGCCCATGCCTGATGACGGATGCATAGGACTACCAATACGCGGTGAAAGTGGAGAAAAACCTCCCATTGGAAGAGCTCCTGGCCCAGAAGAAGTAGTTCTTATCTTGTTTCCGGCTAATGTAAGATGCCGGGTTTTACAAACGAAGATACCTCCATTGTCAGTCATTAACCGTGAATGTAAAAAGGCATGAATACGGAAAATATGTCTAACTTCACCCGTTCGGCCTGAATGTGGACCATCAGTTACTTTCACAATATCTTTAACATGGATCTGATTTTGTTCAGAGTCAAGTGCCACCGCCTTTTTAGAGTCACATTTGCGAGTTATCTTTTGGTGCTTCACTGAAATGACATTGCCTGTCTGAGCCAACACTTGAAAATGTTCTTTTTCAAGTCGAACAATAACTCCGACCGTTTGCGCATCTAACTGCACAAGATCACCCCATTGATATTGTCCATAGGCATCTACTCCAGTGGCGGTATCGGCACACAGTTGTAAATTTTTAGTGCGAACCTTGAGCTCATGGCAAGTGACATCCGAAAACAAAATAGCAAGTTCATTTTCGACCCGAAGAATCATGCCGGTATCTCCTTCAAAGCGACCGTTTAAAACCTTAACATGGTCACCTGCCTTAAAGAACTTCTTTAGTTCGTTAGCTTGGAACTCTAGCGGTTCGTTCAGATCTTCATGTTTCGGTAGCATAGATACTTTGTTACCATCGACGGTAATAACTTTACCTTGCAAGTTTACCAGCTCGCCGTCGCAGACGATCACATTGTCACCCGGCGCGAACAATTCGGATGACTCTATGCCGCCTGCTCTTTCTCCGAGGTCCATTTCAAGATTCTCTGGTTGAGCATCAAATTTTTGCAATTCTTCAAGGGTTGGTTTTATCCCCTCTGTGAGAATTGCGCTCATAATAAACGCTTTGAACAAAAATCCCTTGCGTGAAAAACGATTGCCTTCAAAAATGAGAAAATCACCATCTGTAGACACATCTCCACCCGCATGACGAATGGCATCTACATCAAATAACTTCTGTGGAGGCTTTTTGAACTTCCGTTTCTTTTCGGCATCGACATTGTTTTTAAAAGCGCCACGCGGCTTTGTGTAGTCGATTCTTGGTATCATCTTTAATTCGACACGATTTTGGGCCTGTTCCACATGATACACCTGAGCTAAATCGTCCTTAAAGATTCCTCTCTTAAGTCGCACCCATTGACCCCGGGTTAAAACAGCTTGCTGTTTGGTCACACGCAGCACTTCAGTCATTTCCTTTATAGGCACCATTTTTTGTTCAAATGAGCCCATTTTGAGATTGCCGATTCCCTCTATTGCGGCCTTGACGTGTGTATGTTTGTACGCCTCGATATAGACATAGCCCTTCACGTTTTCAGGTGCTACGGCTGAACGAATCTGCAGCGGTTGTTCGGTATTTTGGTATGCAATAAACTTACGCATTAACTGTAAAACTGTCGCCTTTTCTTCACCCAGGCGACACCGAACCATCCACAACATCGGGTCCCTGAAAAATCAATAATAGCTATCCATGAGTTGATCAGCTCCTACAAACAGACTACTTATCTCACACAGGCACAGATGTATTACATGTCATGATAAGTAACATAGCATGCTTCACAAACATTGTCCAAAAAGGCCTGATTGAAATCTATAAACATAAATATTAAGTCATCAGGAAGAGGACTCGCTATATGATTTAACAACAAGACAGCTAGTACACGTAGAACACACTCTAATTCCACTATATGTTCCAGTTCAAGTACATACTTCACACTGGGTTGAAAAGTCTGTTGTGCAATATCATCATCCAAGTCGACGTCACCTTGATCACCTCGAAATCCGTACTGCTCGCTTCTATCAGCATATTTTCGCCGGTAATAATCCTCAATTTCATCAGGCTTGCTATCCAACATCATCTGCAGCCGTCGATGGCTGTGACGGTCTCCGTCCCGTCCCCCGAGATCATCGTCAAGGAGAGCGGGCCCTCGTGACCTCCCAGCTTTGTCTAGGAGTTCTTCAGCTCCTTCCTCCCATTCTTCATCATCTTCAACTTCGTCATCAACCTCAGCCTCCTCAATGAGGAAACCTCGGCCACGAGATTTTTTCTTTTTCCTACGGGTTTCCTCTTCATCATCCTCATCATCGTACTAGTGACGTCATATACAAACGATGAATACGAAAAATTCAACCTTATATGAGCATATATATGAGCATCTTTGAACCCACAGCCATACCATTTACCTATATATGTTTCGTTCACCTACGAAATACTAACCGGAATAGATTAGAACAGTTTTATTAATTTTTCAATGAGAATAAAATGATAGATTCCTACCGCCGTGCTCATGCAATCCAGCCTATTTCAATCGACCTGATTTGCTCCAGGCTGGTTTATTGCGATATAGAAAGCCGACTATACATAAGGTGCATTCGTTGCAATCGCATTGCATCGCTACAGAACGCCGTTTTGCAGTAGACACACTCACGTTATCGTCTTCTTCTTCCTCTTCTTCGTCGTCGTCGTCGTATCGGGACCGTTTTTTGGGTTGCGGTCGACTTGTTGAGGCTTCGTCTCCACTCTCCTCATTCTAATTGTAAAGTGAGATACACGAAAATTTCATACAAGAATTAGACAATGAACAGGTATTCGCCATACAAGTGCAAACTTTAGCCTGAAATCTGAATGATGTCACCATATCATTCTTGTCCAAAAAAATAATATAGGTTACCAATTAGTTCAACTAAATAACCAAATGTTGACAAATACGTAAGGATTAGTTACGAATTAGCTATCGTTATGTGTATCTTATAATAGCACAATCTATATTTTTCAGTAGAATTCGGGCAGAATCACAATTGCTATCTTGTTGACCTACCTCACTTCCTCGATTACTACGGTTTTCCGAAAGCTGGCTGCCTTCGCTGTCCGACATATTCGTTTGTTGGATTGAGAATGCTGAAATTTCGACAAGTTTATGTGTACATTGTAGTGCTGTTATATTCAACGAAGAAAGAATACTATTATAGGCTACCTAGGATCGCGGCCATCATATATTCAATGGTTCTGATGTGACGTATGAAGAGCTTAGTAATTTCCCTTCAGTTTATTATAATAGTCGAAATCTTTAGTTCATCTGCGCCTATCCCGGTAATCAATGGTAATATAGATTTGCAGTTCGGCAAAATAGGCCGGTGCGATCGGTTCATGCATCTTGTCGAAGATTAAATTTGCGATTTTTTTTGTATAATCAACTGGAACTTAATTTATCTTCTCATATCTCCGCTAATAAAATGCTCATAGTAGGTCTATGTAAGCAAACTCCAAACGATGACTTTTTTTTTCTAAGACTACGTCGTTAATTTTAGCGGTGAATTCTATAAATCGATTCAAAACCTTCTATAAAACGGTTCAAGCGCTTAGACCAGCGAGTTCTTAAAATATTTGCTAAAACAACCCGTGATAGCTTAATAGGTTACGTGTTTGCCTACTGATCTTAGGTATACGTGGTGGTCTAGGTCGAATTCGAACAAAGACACACTTCATTTCGTCTAGGGAGCCAATTGTCGGATGGAATGCCCAACGGCAGTGCCCCGATGTAAAGCTGGAAGCGTTAAACTGAGAAACGTCGAAAGGAAAAGCGTGTCACAAAAATTAGCATGGTTTCAGCTATGAAACTCATGATGAAACGTACTCTCGCGTAATCCGTATCCATACTCACCTAGATGAAACTTCCGAAGTACATTAAATTCCACCTTAATGGCGTTGTCAATATCGAGTCAATTTCACTTAACACTAATATAATCAGTCCTACTTCTTTGTATCAACAGCTGCCCAGGCGACATTGGGTTAGCGTCTGCTAGATTTGACAACATGCGTCAGCTTGAAAGAACCCATCCTCAAGGTATCTAAAAATCTCTGATGCGGCTGACGCGAAAAAGAGCGCCAATGCTCAAGATAGAGCATTAGAAAATGATTGCGTATGAATTATACGTAGAACCTCGTTTTTTTTACTATTGAGCAAAAGGACTTCTTTTGCATTTATAGAAAAATATATATTTGCGTTTCTTTTGCATTACAGCTTGCTTACACCAATTAAGAGGCGCCGCTATAATTTCGCTATCGAACAGTGTTATCTAATTACGAAGCTCGCGCTTATTTTGAAGTCGACTTGCTTTTTGTTAAAGCCTGACTATAATATCAATGAAAATGAATATCAACGAAAAAGAAAACTTTTTTCTTCAATAATGTTAACAACAAAGGATCTCAACGACATAAATATAAAACTTTTGAGCCTTGACAAAAGACTCTGCGAACCCTGACATAAAAAATGCCGCCGCTTCTAAATTGTAAAAATATTTCCATACGAAACGTTCTTTGGGATTATAGTGCTATCTGAATATATTTCTACCGGATAAACAATTCTGCTAATAATGCATTTGAAAAAGAAAGAACGACTGACATTGCTTTCAGTGATCATTACTTACAAACGCGTGTACCGATAGCCTAACTGAGAACTGTTCGAAATTATAATTTAGGCACCTTTGTGCTTTGGAAATTTCCTAAAGGAGACGTTTCAAAAAGGCTTCTGAAATTATCCTCTCGAGTTAGCAGCGCTGAGAGCGAATCGGGAACCATTCGTAATATTACAAACGTACAGACGACTTGACGTATCCGTATATTTGCTCAACGCTATCAGTCTCTGTAACGATAACTGACACGCATGAATACCCATCACGTTTCCGTTGTTAATTATCGTATTTTTCAAATGAGAAATCTATCGGATTGAAAAGATAAAAGCACTCATTGCCATATACCACAAAATTCAATTTTTTTCACAAACGACACACCAACGCAAAAGTAACGTTTCTTTGCCTGAGATTATTTTTTATCGTCATCGGTTGCGACATAAGCACATACCGCAATGACCACTCATCTATCTTCTTGCGGGAGTGATGTCCCTTTTCTCGGATTATTTTACGGGTAAGAACTTAACGACTGCTCAACTTAACAATTGTTTACCTTGAAAAGAAATATCTCGAGCTTACAGCTGAGCTGAAATGAAGGTTTATGTATATTTGAATGAGCAGATCAAACTATCCTCTTTAGTGATATTTTGATTTTTCTTACTTAAATCTTCATTATTGAGCAGTTCAGCCTCCTTCGTGTTTATTTGTACCACTTATTATGGGTTATTAAGTATATAGTAAAGTACATATGAAGACTTCCTGTTTTGCTAATCTTCTAATTGCCAATAGTTCGCCGTGCTGTTAATTGTAGTTGAAATACACCTGTATGAAGTATTACTACGAGTTGTGAAGTACGACGCAAAAAAAGTTACCTACAAATGGTGCACGAATGTGGCTTTCGAAAATTATGCACTTTGTTTAATTTATAAAAAAAAACTTGCTTTACTCTCACAGGTTGAACCGAATGTATCGTTGGCAGGATTCTGGTATCTTCTAATCAAAGGCGACTATGAAAGCAATGGCATTGTAGTTTTACGCATCAACTTAGGCTGTGCATTCCTATCGAAGTTCTATATATTTCACATGAATGTTTACATGAAAAGAAAAAAGAAATTCCAAAAAAAAGATCCAACAAAAGAGGACAAATTATTGAGAAAAAACCCAACCTGAAATCCAATTCGAACAAATATTAATATCTTTCCCATTAAGATGTATGAATGTATTTTCTGAACACTTTAGGTTAACTTTAAATTGACCATTTCTTCGAACAACCTTGTGTTCGACCTATCGCCAGCTTCCAGTGCCGATCATTAACTTAGTAAAATTTATACATCTAATTAAAGTAAACAAAAACAGTTGGTTCGCAGTGCGCTGCTGAACTAGAATCGTTTTTAGTAAAATTCGTTTACTCATTTTGGCGCCAACTTCAAAACAGCTTCGGACTGGCCGCATCTTTTCAAGCCAAAACGAAACAATAATTAGAATCTGAGTGTAGCTGATGCGGCTGGTTTTAGAAGGAGCGTCGCTATTGAAAAAGCGCGGGCAATCGCACGCTCACCGGCACGCCAGCATGCTAGACCTTTCTCTCTTCGTCGTTACAGGAATTGAGTCATTGGTCTGTTGCGCCTTGGACAGGCCGGGCTGTAGGTTGTATTGCTTCAATCTCGCCATAAGTAAGGATCACGCTATTGATGATGAAACAGACAAAGACATGGCGTGCTGTTGGCTAACTTCCGCTTGCTTCGGGGTCGTTTAGTCTGCATTTGCAAGCATTTTGAAGAAGGTATTCACGACAACGACGACGGCAACGACAACGAGTTTATGTATGTTGTGAGAAGACTAGTATATTTCGTGAACTTTTCGTACGATCCTTCACGTACTACGGCGTAAGACTACTATTATTACGATGTAATGTACGGAAGTATTAGATACAGACAGAGACATCATTTGAGAATTGATCGGTATGAGGTGAAGCGACAAAGCGATTGTTCGCCGTTGACTCGCTCGAATCAAACCGGTTGCTTGCAAACAGTCAAAACAATTGATTTTCGGTTTTTCGTTTGGTCTACAGTCCCGAATCGAAATTCCGCAGGTCAGAAAGTAACTGATTATGAGGTAACAACCCTCATTGGTTTTTCAAGTTAACGGCCGTATAGCTGTACTCGTTTTGTGTATAACTTTGCTGGTACCAAGCATCGGTCTCAGCTGTTGTCAACCATTGTTATTGCTGATGTAAATGAAAGGCAATATCTCGTTAGCCAAGCCCGTTGGGCCACTTCGACGAGCTGGTCGATCCATTGCTTGAACACAGACATAGATAGAGTAAAGGAAATCGTTTTTTTTTTGTGACAGGATTTTGGGCCATACACGCTATGTCACGCTACTGGTAATAACGATCATTCGGCACAGTGGCTAAGATGATTCGAAATTACAGCGAATTGTTACATTAGAGATTATTAAGCTTTGGCACTTAATATGGCACCGCATTTTGTGTTCAAGCGTAATCAATTGATGATAGAAGTGCGCGCTAGTGATACTTATCAACACCGTCAACCATTGTGTATATCTATAAAATAAAAATCAAACGCATATTTTCAGATTCAAATCGTAGCAGTACTTGGCACATTTTCGTTTTGCGATCGTCCATACTGCCAAGTCTCGACGTGAAGGGGGCGTAGTACACGCTGGTGAATTTTTGGGAGGGGTTATAATAACTTGCCGTAGAAAAGGGAGTCGTTTGTGCTCGAGTATAACGTATTCGTTGTGCTCACTGAATGGGTGAGAACAGATCAGCAACTTGCGTAATCGTCTCTGGATTTTGTACTACAAATTGAAGGATGCTGGAGAATTCATATCTCAAGATGATGTCATCCCACTCAGGACAGTCCTCGTAAGTATGACTATTATGATATGTTTTCATTTATATATGTAATATTGTGCACGTGTACACCTAAGAAACATTATGCGAACCGCATTACAGGTAGAGTACACTGAAAATTTTCGCTTGGATGACCAAAGTCGATGTTCGATAAGCAAGCTGTTAGCTGGTATTATCTTAGTGCTCTGTATCATTACATATTTTACTAGCTTAGGTCACACTGTTCGACTTATGAATTTCTGACGCGCAAGGAAAAGCACTACATTAACTGCTTCCAAATCAGAGTGAGCGTTGGCGACACTATAATGCATTGTGCATGAGTCATCCTTATTAGATGGTAGATATATGCATACAATGTCAGATATGGTACATAAACGCATGTATATATATGCGAGCACATAGCGCAACCGAAAGCGGTATCAACGCTGATTGCATCTGAGTGAAAGCTGCGGTCTGCGTGTGGGTGGCGCCTAAAAGCAGCGTGATTACAACTGATATCTTCACGTTCATCTATGTATCAAAGGGTTGGTTATTTTTTTGAATAGCGTATTGGTTGATTCGTGTGTATCGTTTATTTCTTTTTTTTTTTTCTAAGACTTTTGCCATACTGAATGGTAGTTAATAATAGTTGCTCATCCAGCTCTAAAAGTGATCGCGCCGCAAAATGACAAGGGTAGTTGTAGGCCAACAATGCGTCCTACGATGGGGCTTAGATAAAGCCGTTTTAGTCACCTCAGCGGACGAGATCGAATGACACTCGGATAGAGCAGGGGTGGTGATGACACTGATTTAACATCAATACGACGTATCAGACATTACAATCTATGAGATACACCACCGCTCATTGACCGTAATTAACGAATTCATCATTTAATTATTAATTAGTGAAAAACATAGAAAACACTGAACTCATAACACCAGTTTTCGCAACACAAAAATCGAAATTTTGAAAGTTATAGCTGTTCCTAATACAGCCGGCACACGTCGCAATAAATCAATCCTTCAGGCTGTACACAAAATTTAAAAATATAGCATAGCACTGTACAGCTGCCCCGCTTTCCTTGCAGTTTGCGAAGATATGTGGAGTACACATAACTGACAATGTCAACAATTGTAAATTGAGAATTAATAATTAATTTTTTAGAATGCAATGGCTGGTATCAAACGTTTATCTGCCTTAATTAAAGTATATAGAGATTACCCAATAAGTTCTTTGATCATTCGGCGTATTCTAAGGGCAAAATTAGTTTTGCCATTGCAGATTTCATAAATATTCAGCAACAAACCTTTGGGAATTAAATTAGCGTCTTCTTTTGGCCACTAAATTGCCATAAAAGTTCATAGCTTTCCTGTGGAAATAGTGGTAACGAGTGGATGTAATTAGTATCATTGCAACTATTTGGAGGGGAAGGTAGAACACTGAGTAGGCAGTTGCTACAATTATAAAAGATATTAAATTATGTGTAACGTAGAATCGCTATTTCCGGGTTTCATGGCTAATCC